TGAGCGCCAGTGGTTGTCTGTCTGTGTGTTGGCCCTGGGACAGACTGGTGACCAGTCCAGGGTGTACCCCGCCTCTCGCCCTATGACAGCTGGGCTCCAGCACCCCCGCGACCCTGAAAAGGATAAGTGGAAGCGAATGGATGGATCATATCGTGGGGTGTTTCTTGATTTCATACTAATATTACTATAGAAAGTCATTCGGCTGTTGGCTCTTTGTCCCTCAGATTAAACCGAGGTCCACTGGGAAAGTTCAGCATTGACGTTGGGAATCGAACCACCATCAGAATGAGTTACCCGGAGGGCACGCCTCTTAGCTGGGCTGACACAGACCCAGACACTCTGTTTGTGACGGTAGTGTATAAAAGCGGAGACATCAGCTGGAGCTCTGCTATGATCAACAAGCTCTCTGTGGTGAGTAGCACTGCTCAATTCATCTGATCAAACTAACCAGCAACCCACCTTCACACAAATAAATCAGCTCGTGTTCTTGGATTAAAGCTATATTATTTAAGAATATGCCATCTTGGAGAATACACCCTGGAGAAACAGATAAATATGGAAAATCTGACTACTTATAAATATAATGATGGCTGCACCGAGTCAAAAACACTGAGATGTTTAAATGCAGTTAGATGTTAGAATGATCCTGTTAAACTGAATGGAAATAGTAGCAGCGCTGTAATAGCACACAGTTTGGGATTGTCTGTAAGGTGAAGATTAGAAATCAATTCTCATATTTTTATATAAAAGCAAGCTTTGAAGAAAATACATTAGAAAAACTATTAGATAAAAATAAAAATCATGTGCAGTACAAACAGCCTCTAAGCACGAGAGACATTTTTAAAAATCAGAAAAGCTCTTATCAGACATTATATGTGAGACGTCTGGCTGAAGTGTGCTTCCAGGAATTCCTCCCCTACCTGGTTTAATCACATGGATCTCTTGGATTATGTAACGTCTCCGTTGCTAGCTCCATAAGTCATTGTCAACTTGTGAACTCCTCAGCATCTGCTTCTACGTGAAAGTGTGACACAGTCTCAGATCTCACTGCTGTTTTCTTGTGAGTCAGTGTTCTGAGCTGTTGAGAAACAAACAGTTTGTGCTTTGTGTTGCAGCCTCTGTGGGATTGGTTCTTTTTCTGGCAGAAGGTTCCAGATAGAATCCCTCTCAAAGCCAGTAAGTTCAGACTTCTAAACCCACATGTGATCAGAGAGACTGCACTGGACCTCCTGAAATATCCTCTTCCCAGGCCACGCCTGTGGGGCTGGGACCAGGTAATTGATGATTCACATACCACACATTAAGTGAAAGTGTGTCTGTTCGTAAGTCTGTGGTATAAAGCAGACGGCCTCGAGGGCTGGTGTCCTTCAGGTTTTAGATCTTTAGATCTTATTTCATTACCAGGCCTCTGGGGAACAAGACATGTTGAGGAGGTAATTTAGCCATTCAATTCAGGACACCTGCACTCAGGCCTGGAGTTCCCCCACCCCTGGTTAAAGTGAAAACTAAAGTCAGTTTTAAAAATACTTTTTAAACTTCTGATTCATTGAAGTCGTTTTTGAAATGCCTTTGTATTCTGTATTTTTTTTTTTTAATTATTTTTCACGTAGAAAGACGGGCTAGACCAGCTTAGGAATTAAACCTTCTAATAGAGAACAAGTTATATCTCTTTGCACAGTAAAAGATCCCTTTGTCCATCTGCCACTGTGCCAAGTGTCAGGTTTAATCGTCATGCCTGCTGTAGCCAGCCTGCAGTCTGTTGTGTTGGAGCAACTCCCCATTGTGGTCACTTTTGACTATTGCAGTACTATCTAACAGCAGCAGATGGGACCATTTCTGATTTGAGCTCATTTAAGTTGTAATGATCAGATTATTGAAATTAGAAAATAAAAGCTTAGAAGTGGTTCTGTGTGTCAAGTTATGTTAACCTCTGTCTTCGACTCTGTTGGAGTAATAAAGTCATTCTGAACAAGAATAAAGTTGTTACTCAGCGCTGAGGTTTCTAATGGAGCTCACTGAGCTGCTGTTCTCATGAGTTACAGGCAGACATGGGAAAGGCGTTAACAAAAGGCTAACATTGTGATACTATCGGTTTACCTGTCTGTGCATATTACAGTAAGCTAAGTCATAGTTTATTTATTATGGCCTATATTACTTTGACTTTGCCGGTGTCTCACTCTTGTCCATTTTCCTTCTTTACTTCAACCATAGTCAGTTTGCTTAGAAAATAAAATGATGTGAAAAATCTGCAACAGGAAGACAGAAACAAACGTCTTTACTCTTTAAGAAAGTTTAACCCTTTTTTTTTTTTTTTACGTATATTTGCAGAACATTCCCACTCTCGGTGTGTCTGCGCTGACTCTAGCTAGCCTGCTGTGTGACGAGGTCAGCCTGGCAGGCTTTGGCTACAACCTCTCCCAGCACGGGGCGCCACTGCACTACTATGACCAGCTGCCTATGAGCTTCATGCTGGAGCAGAGCATGCACAACGTGAACAGAGAGACTGAGCTCTTGCAAAGACTGGTTAGAGAGGGAACCATCACTGACCTGACAGGGGGGATCCACTGCTCCTACTGCCACAGCTGACCCACCACAGCCTTCTAGTGCAGAGTGCTTCCTTTTTGTGGTGTGAACATTTTCATATCCTCTCTGAGGCACTGAACAGAAGTCAAGCAAGAGTTACAGGATATTTTTAACAAAACGCTTTATGAAGAACTGATTTGTTTTTAATGAGAAAGGGCCTTGGACCACAGTCTTGTCTTTGCTCACAGACACGTGTTGCAAAGCTTCCAGTTTGTAATAACTGATTCTCATCAGCAATGCATCAGGAGCTTCTCAGTATTTGAGTTATTTTTAGTTGTGGAACACGATCAGTAACTTGTAAACAGTGTTATTCAATTCAATTTCAATTCAATTTTATTTATATAGCGCCAAATCACAACAAAAGTCACCTCAAGGCGCTTTCGGTATCATGGTTGTTGTGATTGTTCTGATGCAAGTTAAAATTATGTTTGTACATCAGTAAATTATCAGTGGAACAAAATGAATCTGTATTCAGTTGCACAGATTGGACCAAAGTGTCTTCAGCTGTTTT